TAGATGGGGTAAGCGGGTATATATAAGAGGGGGACAACGTGACGCGGTGATGTAATGTAATGTGTGTGTGAAGATATTGAGTAATTGAACTGCAGTCAGAAGTATTATTGACGTTCGTTGATATAGCGTTTGTTTTAGCGCGATTGTTGAAAATAAGTGTATCGTAAAGTTGTATTCGGAAAGAATAAACCAGTTTTATTTAGTAAAGAACTTGTGTCGCTAAAGTTTCGTCGGAACGAAGTTACGGAAAGTTAATTAACAAACGGAGACGTAACAATAGGGTTGCTATCCTAAAGCTAATGTTGGTTACTATCGAGTGTCACTTTTTACTTGCTGTGGTTTGTTGGTGTGTATTGACAAAAAGTCATGATATCTAATCAAAAACACCTTAGTTGTGAAAAAAAAAGTGCGGCCAAAAAAGGATTGAGCGTACGACTTAAAGGAATGAAATCAAAATTGGCGACCAAACTGGTAGCTATACTTATAGCATTGATAAGAATATTTTCTGTAAAATTCTTATCAATGCCACAAGTGTAGCTACCAGTTTGGCCGCCAATTTTGATTTTAATTTGGTTAGCCAATTTTTATTCATAAAAACCTGATATTCTGTACTAGAAAACACAAAAACAAAAATTTATAAAATAGGCTCCTCAAGTAAGTGAGCCGATGCCGTGATCATGATTACCTCGGCCACTTGACGTGTTCACTTCCGACTCACAGCTAGTGAGCCATCGGGTGTTCAGTGAGCGCATTTTATTCATGATTAGTGTTGAATTATTCGAGACGGCCAGATGTTCACGAATAGTGATAGTTCACAACAAGTTATACTGTTTGGAAGATGAATAATGTGACTTTTTCTTCTTCTTTATCGAGAAAGAAAACATTATTTGATTATGCATATATCTTAAAGCGAATTTTGTAAGAAACAGAATCAAATATAGGATTTAAGTTATTGATGAACATCATGATTAATGGTTCCATAGCCTTTTAGTTTTCGTGACCTGTTGTTTTTCTGGTAGCATTTATATAGCTCACTGTGCAGTGTGTCAAGTATAGCATCCAAACCTCAAAAGCTTGTACTGTTCGGCTCATCTACTTGACGAGCCCAGGCTTACTATATGTGTCCTTTCCCCTTGGTTAATTATATATATATTTTAATTCTTG